TTTGCTATTGACTGTTCAAATGCGGAGTTTTGCGCATTGTGTGTGTGTGTGCGTGCGTGCGTGCGTGCGCACGCGCGCGTGTGTGTGTGTGTGTGAGAGAGAGCGAGAGAGAGAGATCACAGTGGAGTCAGCTGTCTTAACCGTGGCTTGTGTACTGCACACATACCAGCTTCATCACTGTGTCTGTCACGCGACTCTTCCCCTTTCGGGCTCTGTCTTTACATTTATTTTGACAGATGAAGCTCGCGATTATGGTAAGGGGCGTTACATTTCCGACGAGTGCTTGCGGTGTTCGGCCAATCACAATGCACTGGGTCAGCTGGCCAATCAGAGCAGACTGCGCTTGTCAGAAGGAGGGACTTTGTAGAAAACGAAGTGTTTGAGAGAGGCGGGGCATAGAGGACCTACAATAATGTACAGTATTTTAAAAATAATGTGTTTTTTGAACATTAAAGCATGTCAACATATTCTGTTACACCAAATACACAAAATAATGATCTTTAAAAAAGCACCATATGACCCCTTTAAAATAGTTTAAATTGTAACAATATTTCACAAAAATGTATTTTTTTACTGTATTTTTAATTAAATAAATGTAACCTTGGTGAGCATAAGAGACTTCTTTCAAAAACCACAAACTTTTAAACAGTAGTGTAGATAAAAATGCATAAACAGCTATATATATTAGCATGGGTGAAATCTTTGTAAATTAATCGTCATATTTAGGGGTGATCTGGCACCAGTGCTATGGGGCTGGTTTAACTGAGTGTTTATTTGCATTGGTTTGGTATCCACATTGGTCGTTTGTATCCAGGATGGTTTTCTCAGGGGGCTGTGGTATGCATAACACTGACATGACCCCACATAACTCTCCTTCACTTATACACCATAAACACTAACCACCCTTACACACACAATGCATCACAATGCAGTTAATCATGCTTAATGGGGAAAGTCCATTCAAACCTGTTTTTCAGACTCTACAGAGCAAGTTTCAAGGGACAGCAGGGGAATCAGCCACATAAATACAGTGTTTTTTATGCAAAAATGTACTTGCTGCACTCAGGGGCGCCGCTAAGGGGGTGGAAGTTAGGACGATTCTAAGCGCCCACACACTTTTGGGGCCCCCAGAGATCTGTTTTATTAGTAGTAACAGTAGTAGTAGTAATGTAATAGAAATTATAAATGTATCTACCAAAGAATTACAAATAAAACAAAATTACGGCTTATTTCTGCATTTCCGGCAAAATTATCTCCCCCCATTCACTGAATGGTTTCGTCCCGTCCTATGTAACCTAGAGTCACTGAGTGAGATCAGATGGTAAACTGTCAAATTAGAGATGTCTTCGAGTTCGAGGGGGGGCAAACCGAGCCGGACGATTTGGTCAGTCGCACTTTTAAACACATTTTAGTTGTGCTATAGAAAATCTACAAATTCACACTCTGATTACATAGAACAGCAGCAGGAAGGGCGTGACGTTGTAATGGCAACCAGATACACTGCACGCGAATTTCGGCTCCGCTTCTACTTTGACACACTAAACTTAGCTATAAACACGTTGAAAATAATACACAATAAACATGTCTGTCAAAACAATCTCAAAGGAGGCTTTTATTAAGCAAATCAAGGAGTGAATTACTCATCCACTGTTTAAAAAAAAAAACTTTAGCTGGGTTTCCACGGGCAGGGTCACAAACTACAGTGTATGAAGCTAAAGGTTTTTGGATTAAGGTTCACTGTAAAAAAAAATCTGTGACATTTACGGTAAAATACCAGCAACTGTGGTTGCCCGAACTTCACCGTAAATAATATGGTAGCAACATTTTAGGTTTTACAGACTTAACTTAAATTCACAATAAAATACCATATTTCATTAACCGATGTTATGTTAATAAGCCAACATATTGAAGGGTATATATCTGTTTTGAACCATTGTAATGCACTGATAACCACCAAAAACTGGTGGTGATGAGAAAGTCACATGATGAAACAGCTTTTCTACGAGCTGAGGAGAGCAATACTTCTATATAGAAGGTGCACAAGTGTCATTCACACAAACACTAAACCCCATCGTGGTGACACACATGATACGCTTTTATTAAGCAAATCAAGGAGTGAATTACTCATCCACTGTTTAAAAAAAATACTTTAGCTGGGTTTCCACGGGCAGGGTCACAAACTACAGTGTATGAAGCTAAAGGTTTTTGGATTAAGGTTCACTGTAAAAAATAATCTGTGACATTTACGGTAAAATACCAGCAACTGTGGTTGCCCGAACTTCACCGTAAATAATATGGTAGCAACATTTTAGGTTTTACAGACTTAACTTAAATTCACTATAAAATACCATATTTCATTAACCGATGTTATGTTAATAAGTCAACATATTGAAGGGTATATATCTGTTTTGAACCATTGTAATGCACTGATAACCACCAAAAACTGGTGGTGATGAGAAAGTCACATGATGAAACAGCTTTTCTACGAGCTGAGGAGAGCAATACTTCTATATAGAAGGTGCACAAGTGTCATTCACACAAACACTAAACCCCATCGTGGTGACACACATGATACTGAAATAATGCAATAAACATTAGAAGTATAACCCTAATGTACACAACTGATAAGAAAAAAATAAGAAGAAACATAAAATATTAGGTGTCATGCAGGGAATTCTGGGAGTGTCAATTTGGTTTTTCACTGTAAATTATACAATTACTTTTTTTTCACTTCCAAAAACCGTATTTTTAACAGTATTTTGCTGTAAAATTACATTAAATGTAATTACATTTATTCACCGTATATAGTATGGAAACTTACTGTTAACCAGTTAACAGGTTTTTACTGTAGCATTTTTACAGTATTTTACTGTTAAAATCACAATAATTTTTTACAGTGTTCATAATGTAGAACATTTTTAACATTGTATGCTGTATGTGCATAGGTAGCTAGCAAACAAGGAATACAGCTGTTAAGCCAATAGTCACATTTAGCTGAGTAAGATCATGATTGAGAAATGTTGGATACTGCTGGAAATGCTGGTGTTATGGGGTATCCTATTTATTATTTTAGGATTTTTTTGTTTGCCCCCGTGAAGCAGTTCTATCAATATAACTGATTAAGTAGTCAAACTCATTCCATAGCAGCAGAATAGTGTGGTACAGAAAGTCTGTCCATAGAAAAGGTTATGAATGAATTATGTTACTGATAGGCCTACCGAATGGTCAAATGCAATAGCAAAAGTAATAGGTCAATATTGTTAAATTGCAGATCAAAGATTTTGAATTGCTAGGTTGGCTTGTATGCATGTTTGGTGTGGTGGGTGGCCCAACCTCATATTCTTTCATAGGGCCCAAAATTGCTAGCGGCGCCCCTGGCTGCACAACCATCTGAAAGGAAACCTGCCCTGAAAGGAAATTAATTCTCAATGTTTTCTCAACTGCATGTTATAATAAAATAGATGGCTGATGCTAGATGAGCTTGATACAAATGTGTTTTTATGTGTTTACTTTGAGGAACAGTTCCCATGATTTTTCCATTTGCAGCAATGCCATTGGAGAAGTGATGCCATTTCCTGTGGTTTGATGATGATGTTAAAGAGTGTTACTCTTGCTTGAATCTGCACCCTTGTTGCAGTGAACAATCAAAGCTGCCGACAGTCACAACAGATCTCCTAGAGGTTAATTCTCACTAATATCCCGTCTTTGCCTTTTTCCTGCTCTCTGTGCATGAGCAGCCCTTCATTCCTCTCATGATTAGGCTGAGTTCCCTGTGGAGGGACAGCAGTCTCACCCAAGCATAGACATAGACATACTCTCAACATCCACATTTTCAAGCCTTGTGTGATGTTTGCCACTTTATAGCACATAAAATTATATCATAAACATCCTAGCAACCATTCGAACTCCCAAGCAATGCTGACAACCACTCAGAACACCTCCAAAATTGTATATACAGTGTATACACACACACACACACACACCCCTCCAATCTATTCCATGCATCCTGTTGGCTTTTTTGAATGTCTGAACTTTCTAGTTCCACTTTTATTGCAGTTTGACTTTGTAAACTGGTTTATATGTGGACTTTGAACTGTTGCAAATAAACCCGCACTCAAATCCTGACTTTGATTCAGTTATTGTTGTATACTGATTAGATAAGAACTAATTCAATAACTTAATTCTCTCACCTAATCACATTTCCATCACTCCAAAGAGGAAACCTCGCAGACATACCACAGTTAATTACCAAGCATAACATGGAGGCTCTCTATGGGCGTTTGCATAGCAGAAGTGGATGCAGTCATGTACGGTCTGCTTTTGTGGACTTGATATGAAGAAGCAGGGTGATGTGACAGCAACAGGGCCGTGTGTTGCCCCAGGCTCTGGAGACTGGAGCTAGGCCAAATGTTCACATTCCTCCCACTGTTTCCCTGCTGTTCAAGCCTCTGCTGTCCGGTGGAAACAGCCTGGGCACTGATCTGAGATCAGTTTGATGTGGTACAACAGGGAACAGCGGCCAAAGAGCAGTACAGCGAGAGAGAGAGAGAGAGAAGAGCTCTCACACACCCTTCACTCAAACAACATTTCCCCACCTCTCTTTTTCTCTACCTCGTCCACTTTTGTGTGCTGGAACAAGGGCAGAGACACTCTAGATGGATTTTACAGACAGATTAGGGGTGGACATTCAATTCCTCTGCTCTGATAGCCACAGAAGTGCTCTTTTCTTTCAGCCTTAGTTCTCTGTAAGCACGTTTATTCTCTGGGCAAACAGAAGAGCTGTGCGGCCACAGGAATTCCAGGTCAAGGATTCCTCCGGCAAGCATGAGTTCACCTGTGACAGGTTCATTTCCTCTCCAGCAATGAGACCAGTGACATTGACTTCAAGAGGAACCAAAGACAGTAACAGAGACTTTTGTCATTTTAGACTATTTGGGGGAGCATAGAGTTCTTTTTGGACATGATGGGGTTGTTGTCAGTGGATCAGAGTGCCGTTTTGGTGGTGGCCGCTCTTTTTGGGATGTACCAGTTTGCTGAAGGGGGATGCTCAGGAGGAAGGTGCTGTCAAGGCACAGATTTCACCTGTGTCACTACAGACTGGAGGATCGACCGTGTCTATGGGACGTGTTATTGTGATGAGAGGTGTTTAAAGACGAAAGACTGTTGCTTTGACTACCCAACAGAGTGTCCAGGTATGTGGTACAGTAATATTTGGGCAGATTACTGGGCATAACATTTCTTTTCTATAACATTAGTACATACGTATTTACCAGTACATATTTTAAATAGTATAGATTTAAAATGATAAATTTTATACATTAATGCAGCTCATTTAAATAGTAGGCTACAATGATGTGACAAATGCATTTTTAAAACTACAAATATTTAATGTATGACTTTCAGTCAAAGGAATAGTTCACAAAAAAATGAAAATTTGCTGAAAATTTACTCACCCTCAGGGCATCCAAGATGCAGATGAGTTTGTTTCTTCATTGCAGATTTGGAGAAAATGGATAATTTGCAGTGAATGGGTGCCATCAGAATGAGAGTTGAAACAACAGATAAAAACATCACAATAATCATCAAGTACCTCACACAACCCTGTGAAGTGTAAAGCTGCGTGTCTGTAATAAACAAATGAATTCATAGAGTCATCTATCCATAATATTTCTTCTCCAGTGAAAACGTTGTCTTGTCTGAATCAGGAGAGAGATATGCACAGATCAAGCACCGTTTAGAAGTGTAAACAACTTGATGGTCTAAAATTGATCACTTAGATGTTTATAGGTGGAACTCAACTGTGTTGGATTAATTCCAGGAGCAGCATTCATAACAACAATGGAGTACAGCAAAGGCAGAACACATGATTTGTATGGGGCCCCAATGGATGCTGGGTATGTATCACCATAGATTAAACAAGCACAAAGACACTGTTCGTGATGAGAATTTGTGATGAGAAGCCTGTTTACTCATTTCAACAAATAGTCATTACTTTAAGCCACAAAGACAGACTGCCACAATATTTAATATTTAACTTTACTTCTTGTAATTGCAATTTTATATCTAGTAAATGTGGATTCTTATAATTTGTATTTTGTAATTGTGAATTGGAACAGTGCTAACATCACAATGTGACTATTTCTTATAACTTTTTCCTCACAATTAACACAAAGGAAACTTTTAAGTCACTTGATGATGGCATGTGCTCCACAGTTTTTGTATGGAGTTCAAGATGGAGTCTCTGACACCGCAGTGCATGGTGGAGAACAGACCCTACACGCGCTGGATGCAGTACTTGAGGGAGGGCTACAGTGTCTGTGTGGCCTGCCAACCTCTGGCGATGAACAACCACAGTCGGAGTTGCCAAGGAGACGGCAACCTAGCTGAGAGGTAGTGTAGCCATAGTGCCACAGTGTTGTTAGAGGACCTGTTTCTGATGCAGCAACAATAGCACATCATCTTGTGAGTTCATTGTGAGGTCTGAGTATGTTTTCATGCTGAAACAACAACAGACATTTTGAGAAAGGGTCTTATAGGCTTCCTGTGCCATATTAATGGCCCTCAGCACCATTGTGAACGGATGAACTCTGACCTTTAGAATTTATTGCTAGCAATCTTAATGTAGTACCTGAGGCATATGGGTGTTTCTTCAACTACAGGCTTGAATTTTATTAAAACCATTTCAAATTATAAACGGGATTGAAAACATTTTTTATGTCTCCATTGCTTTTGCATACATTTAATGTGTAGATTTTATTATTTTACAAAGACCAGACTTAGATATTTATAATATGAAAATCGGTCATAAAAACATTTCAGTTTTTGACTTGCAGTATAATAATCTAAACAAAATGTTAATGAATGTGTAAAAATAGCTTCTATATTTACATGACTTTCCATCTTGTGCTGTCCATTTCTAACATGACCAACAATTTCCTCCCATAAGTTTTTTTTTTATTTAATTTTTAATTTTTTAAATAGAGTACTTATATACAAAGGAGAGCTTGAGTTGAAAGTAAGCTTTTTTTATTTGAATAAAGTAATACTTTCTTTCAGCAAGGAGAAATTGATCATTTGCCAGTTAATACTTTTATAATGTTAAATTTATAGTTTATTTTAAATAAATGTTGTTCTTTTTAACTTCATATTCACCAAACAAATCCTGGAGAAGAAAGAAAAAGAAAAACTAAAACAAAACAAACAAACAAACAAAAAAAAACTGCATCAGGGTTTTCACAAAAATGTTTTCATCATTAATAATAAGACAATGTTTCTTGAGCACGCATTCAGCGTATAAGACTGATTTCTGAAAGATCATGTGACACTAAAGACTGGAGTTATGACTGCTGAGTCTAAATCATCTTTGCAATCACATTAATTACCAGTGTTGGGGGTAGACTGCATCAGGGTTTTCACAAAAATGTTTTCATCATTAATAATAAGACAATGTTTCTTGAGCACGCAGTCAGCGTATCAGACTGATTTCTGAAAGATCATGTGACACTAAAGACTGGAGTTATGACTGCTGAGTCTAAATCATCTTTGCAATCACATTAATTACCAGTGTTGGGGGTAGTAACGCATTACAAGTAATGCGAGTTTTCAAATAAGTTACTTTTTTTTTCCAATTTATTGACTGACAGCTCTCCTGTCCCCATGTTGAGAGAAATCAGAAGATGTTACTGTAGTTCTAAAATAAATATGAATATGCATTAATTCATCTCACTCACAAAAAGAACACTGCAGATTCAGTAATCCTCAAAATTAATAAAAATAATGCAACTTAGAATATGACGCAAACCTGCAATAATTAAATGTTAAACAACACAAATATCCTTTATGTATTTAATCCCATTCTATTAACCAATGTCTTTGCTTCTGACCTTCGATGATCCAGTTCAACCATACTAATAAGCAAAAATTATTAGTGTGTCAATTATTAGTGTGTCATCTGTGTGTCTTTTTTTATTGCTTAAGTGTGTTGAAATTTCTTCTTCTGCATTCTTCTGTACGGATGTAAATTTACTTTCCCTTCAGCCTGAGGCTTATTCATTTCACGTTTGGTGTGAAAAGGCTTTTATATTTGCCAAAAATAGAACTTTTTTTATTTTAAAAACAAACAAGCAAGCCCTGTCCAGATTTAAAAAGTAACGCAAAAGTAATGTAATGCATTACTTTCCATAAAAAGTAACGAAGTAATGTAATTAGTTACTTTTTTATGGAGTAACGCAATATTGTAATGCATTACTTTTAAAAGTAACTTTCCCCAACACTGTTAATTACATTTTTTTTAAGTTATTATACATTTCACAATATTACGTTTAAAAATATATATATTTCTGATCAAATAAATGCAGCCTTGGTGAGTGTAAGAGACTTTTTTCAAAAACATAAAAAAATTCTTACAGACCCCAAACTTTTGAATGGTATAAACTATAAAATAAGCCATAGCAAGACAAGAGTCAAGCATTTTATGTCAGAAATTTTTTTATATAGTTTCTATCATGGAACACAATGCAAATGAACTGTAAACCACACAGCTGAAGAATCACTCATAGCGTAAAATAAGGTTTTTGGACCTGCCATCTGATGGTAGACTCTTCTTGTCTTGGCAGGGATGAGCTTCTACACTGGCAGGCGGCGGGAAGCCCTCGCTGCAGAGGAACATGGAGGAAAGTGCAGAGACTACAGCACTGCTCCTGTCCACAAGTGCACAGCTTCATTTTCATTTAAACATGAGATGCTTCTTCAACCCCTTGATAAAATCCACTAATGAACAATATATCCTATTGTTACATGTCACAAAAAACCATCCCATCACACTTTCACATACATGTGTTGTTTGTTTTGTTGAGATTAATTTATCTTGCCATTTCTGCACCCTTGTAATATTTTTTTGTATTCAGTTATTTTTGATTTCATGTCTGAAGAGTGACGTTATTATTATGTTATATTTTTTCAGGTTGGATGAGATAAAGGGGTTAAAAATAATTCATTTGAAATATTAGAATAAAAAATATTAGAAGCCTTGTGGGCAAAATTGATTTACTTCGTGTGTGGGTTGATTTAAACAAACCTGATATTGTCACACTCTTTGAAAAATGGCTTAATAGCCGTGTTTTGGACAGTGTGATAAACTTAACCAATTATGTTCTTTATACACTCTAAAAAATGCTGGGTTGTTTCAACCCAATGTTGGGTCAAATATGGACTAACCCAACTGTTGGGTTAAAAAGCTAATTTAAAAATGTAACCAAAATTTAACCCAACAGTTGGGTTTGTCCATATTTGACCCAACATTGGGTTGAAACAACCCAGCATTTTTTAGAGTGTAGGTATGATAGGTGCTCCAGGGTTGGAGGTGTGGCTATGTTTGTATTGGTCTTGTATTTGAGTTGATTATACCTTCAGACAGTTGACACTTTATATTGTGAATGTATTTTTGTTAAGATAATTCTTCATTCATATAAATGTATAACTGTTGGAAGCTATATGGACCACCATCTTCATCCACAATTAATTCTATTTTTGGTAAAAATGAAAAAAAAAAAAAAAACTTTGTGATTTTAACAAGAATTGGTTGGATAAGTTGTCTGATAAAGAAAAAAAATATACTTAAAGGGTTAGTTCACCCAAAAATGAAAATTAGTCCATAAATTACTCACCCTCAAGTCATCCTATAGGTGTATATGACTTTCTTCTTTCAGACGAATCCAGTCGGAGTTATATTAAAAATTGTCTTTGATCTTTCAAGCTGTTTAATGCCACTCAGCAGGTGTTGCATGCATCAGTCCAAAAGAAGTGAAATAAAAAGCACCCATCCATAAAAAATGTGTCTCACGCGGCTCCGGGGGGTGAACAAAGGCCTCCTGTAGCGAATCGATGTGTTTTTGTAAGAAAAATATCCATATTCAAAACGTAATAATCACTTTAATGTAGCTTGTTGTTTTACATGGAAGCAGCTCCGGGAGGATGACGTATGAGGTCAGTGCTGCGCATGCGCCGGTGAGTCTCGTGAAAATCAACGTTTGTTAACAGGAGCAAGGAAAACCAGTCTCCTCTTGGCTTATATCGAAATACTCCGACATTCTTCTTTACAAATCCTCATTTTGTACTTCTAATTAGTGACCGTTGTTTTGTTTTGATCTCTCCCCTGTGCTTCCGCATTCGTCATCCACCTGGAACTGCTTCTGTGTACAACAGTGAGCGCAAGCTAGATTAAATTGATTATTACGTTTTAAATATGGTTACTTTTGTTACAAAAACTCGATTCGCTACAGGAAGACTTTGTTCAACCCTCGCAGCCATGTGAGGCACTTATTATGGATGGGTGCTTTTTATTTACCTGGAGCACCTATCATACCTACACTCTAAAAAATGCTGGGTTGTTTCAACCCAATGTTGGGTCAAATATGGACTAACCCAACTGTTGGGGTAAAAAGCTAATTTAAAAATGTAACCAAAATTTAACCCAACAGTTGGGTTTGTCCATATTTGACCCAACATTGGGTTGAAACAACCCAGCATTTTTTAGAGTGTAGGTATGATAGGTGCTCCAGGGTTGGAGGTGTGGCTATGTTTGTATTGGTCTTGTATTTGAGTTGATTATACCTTCAGACAGTTGACACTTTATATTGTGAATGTATTTTTGTTAAGATAATTCTTCATTCATATAAATGTATAACTGTTGGAAGCTATATGGACCACCATCTTCATCCACAATTAATTCTATTTTTGGTAAAAATGAAAAAAAAAAAAAAAACTTTGTGATTTTAACAAGAATTGGTTGGATAAGTTGTCTGATAAAGAAAAAAAATATACTTAAAGGGTTAGTTCACCCAAAAATGAAAATTAGTCCATAAATTACTCACCCTCAAGTCATCCTATAGGTGTATATGACTTTCTTCTTTCAGACGAATCCAGTCGGAGTTATATTAAAAATTGTCTTTGATCTTTCAAGCTGTTTAATGCCACTCAGCAGGTGTTGCATGCATCAGTCCAAAAGAAGTGAAATAAAAAGCACCCATCCATAAAAAATGTGTCTCACGCGGCTCCGGGGGGTGAACAAAGGCCTCCTGTAGCGAATCGATGTGTTTTTGTAAGAAAAATATCCATATTCAAAACGTAATAATCACTTTAATGTAGCTTGTTGTTTTACATGGAAGCAGCTCCGGGAGGATGACGTATGAGGTCAGTGCTGCGCATGCGCCGGTGAGTCTCGTGAAAATCAACGTTTGTTAACAGGAGCAAGGAAAACCAGTCTCCTCTTGGCTTATATTGAAATCCTCCGACATTCTTCTTTACAAATCCTCGTTTTGTACTTCTAATAAGTGACCGTTGTTTTGTTTTGATCTCTCCCCTGTGCTTCCGCATTCGTCATCCACCTGGAACTGCTTCTGTGTACAACAGTGAGCGCAAGCTAGATTAAATTGATTATTACGTTTTAAATATGGTTACTTTTGTTACAAAAACTCGATTCGCTACAGGAAGACTTTGTTCAACCCTCGCAGCCATGTGAGGCACTTATTATGGATGGGTGCTTTTTATTTAACTTCTTTTGGACTGATGAACTGCAACACCCGCTGAGGGCCATTAAACAGCTTGAAAGATCAAAGACAATTTTTAATATAACTCAGACTGGATTCGTCTGAAAGAAGAAAGTCATATACACCTAGGATGCCTTGAGGGTGAGTAATTTATGGGCTAATTTTTAATTTTTGGGTGAACTAACCCTTTAATAGTTTAAATCTTACCCAACTAATTACTGAGCCTATACTAGAATTACTGCTCGAACACAGTCCCTTCTTGATTGAATGCTTGTTTCACATCCTAATAGATTTTTAAGGGTAGGTGTAATGACTGACTGCTTTAGTGATCATTCTATTTTATTTTGTGTATGGAAAATTAAATTACCTAAATCTCCATCTAGGTTAATTAAAACATTGAATTTAAATGTATTTATTAATGATTTGATTTCTATTAATTGGGATGGATATCATTTAATTCCTAATGTACAATATGTTTAACTTTTTATACTGAGTTCATTAATGTTGTGGACAGACATGCTCCCTGGAAGAATATTAGGGTTAGGGGTAATCATCTTTCTTGGATTAATTCTGAATTTATTCGTCTTTTTAAGTAAAGGGCATGGTCAGTATTTCATCAGACAAGAAGTAACGCTCATTAGGAAGTATATAGTCATTTGAGAAATTTATTAGGCAAAAGTAACTAATGAAAAATCTAATTACTATAAAAAATGTCTTTCCTATAATTGTAAGAACTCAAGTATTTTTGGAATAAAATCAAAAACATATTTAGTGCTTCAGATAACCATTTAATTAATCAAATTAGAGTTAATAATACAATATTACATGACTCTTTATCTAGCTCATTCATTTCATCAGCATTTTTCGTCTGTCTGTTCTACTTTAGTATCTGATTCTTATTTGAATGCTGGTACTATATATGATACTTTATCGTGTAGTAGTTCTTTTCAATTTAGGAAGATTTTGCCTATTGAAGTTCAGAATGCTATTAATGAATTAAGTGGGACTAGTGGTGTTGAATTGGATGGTATTGAAAATAAGTTTCTTAAATCATCTTTTCACATTCTTGTTTATCCACTCACTGATTTATTGAACTTGTCTTTGTCTACATGTGAGTTACCTGCTATCTGGAAATAAGCACATATTACTCTTTACAAGGGAGGTGATGTTCTTGATCTCAATAATTACAGACCTATATCTATTATATGTTCTATATCTAAAGCAACTTCCAAATTACTTACAGTATGTATTAATAATATTTTATCACCATATCAATCCGGCTTTAGGTCCAATCATTCTGCAACCACTGCATTACTTAAGTTCACTAATGATGTTTTTTCAGCTGCTGCTGATGATAAACTCACAGGTGCAATTTTTCTTAATTTATCTAAAGATTTTTGATTTAGTTGATCGATACTTACTTTTAGATAAACTTCATGCTTTTGGTCTTTCTTAAAATGCAATTATGTGGTTTAATTCATATTTTCATAACAAAATGGGAATAAATCAGTTTTTTTTTTTTTGGTTCAATAGAGGTGGTTCAATGTTGGGACCCCTTCTTTTTTCTAGTTATGTTAATTATCGTTCATTTTCAATAATTGTAATGTTTAAATTTATGCTGATGACACTGTCATATATGTATCTTATTCTGATATTTTACAAATTCAGTTGTCTCTTCAGTATGATTTTAATGTTTTCACAATTGGTTTTTGGATAATAAATTAGTGCAAAATCTTATATTATATAAGTCTTATATTATGATTTTCGGTTCTAGAAAGAAACTTAAATCCAAAATCTGTTATTGTGTTGTATCATGTAAAGACAGTATTCCTTTGCATAAAGCTGATATTATTAAATACCTTGGTGTATGGCTTGATTTTGAACTTTCCTTTAAATGACATATTAATCATGTTCTACATAAAATACATTTTGGAATTAGTACTTTACATCAATCTCGTAATTTTTGTTTATTTTTTATTATATAGTGTTCATAAGAAACTTGTCTCTCAACTTCCAGTCCTTGAATATTGTGATGTTGTTTATCACACTGCATCAAAATCAGATCTTGCTCCACTTCATACAGTTTATAATAGATTTTGCAGATTGGTTTTGGGATGATCTTTTTATACTCATCGTTTAATGTATGATGTACTCCAGTGGCCAACTTTGCACACAAGATGACTTTCATAGGCTTCAATTTATATTCAAATGTATTTACTTTAAATAACCTAGTTATTTACAACAACTTGTACCTTTTTCTTTAAATTAAGTTCTGTTCATACTTGATCCTTGTGTAAAAAATAAACATTGGTAAAATAGCTTTTATGTTTAAAGCCCCAACAGACTGGAATAATTTACCTGGAGATATTCAAACTATTGCATCATTAAAGATGTTTAAGCAAACTTCATTATATTTTGGTCTGTATATGCTCTATCACTGAAGATGTTACTGTTTCTTTATATATATTCACTGATCAGTATTTGTTATTTCAATTTTGTGGTGTTATTTCCTAATTAATGTTAATGATTTGTCATTTGGTGTTGTTTATGGATGTATTATTAATCTGTTTAGTTGTGATTGTGTTACGTTGTTTTTGGGACCCCCTCGAAAACAAGATGGTACATCTCAAGGGGTTAATCCTAATAAACTTACATTTATTAAAAGCTCTTTAGTTTTTACAGTTGTATTGTTTCAAACTATTTTTTTTCTTTCTGTGAAAGAGCTCAAGAACAAAATGAAAGGCAAACTTGGGCTCACTTGCAACTCCTAGTGGAAAAATGTGGTCAGTTCTAACAAACAGCAACAGAAAGCTTTTTAATTTGTTTTTTCAGCAGCGATACTTCTGCTAAATAGTTTACTTTCAATTTACAAAATGGACTTCCAAACTTATTTTGTGAAATTACATGCATAACAATAGAACTTTCAGTTCAATTTCTTGAAACGGATTATGTAAATTTCACCAAAAAAGAAAAAACAGAGAAACCTGACACACTGTCAGGAATATATCTTCAAAAAGTGTCTGACATCAGAACAGCTTAAATACTGAAACCTTAAATTCGAAAGATCTTTAAATACTAAAAGCAGAAGCCGCCAGCAGCTCAGTAGTCTTCCATTTTCTTCAGGATTCTCCATCTGTCCTTAAGATTTACACCGGTGCGGTTGTCAAACTCAAAGTCATTCAGGATCATTCTCCATTTGCCCTCCCCATACTTCCTCACACCTGCTTTCAGCTTCCGATCTTCTTCTGCAGTCCATTTCTGAAAGGAACAAACATTGATGCTGTTATTATGCACATGCGCGCACACACACTGAAGATGTCCACCTTCAGAGTCACTCACCCTCCTGAGTTGGCTTGTCACACTAACATTGCTTTGTAATTCTGAAGAGACACTACTTCTCCTGGAAATCTCTGTAGATAAAATTAGCATTTATAAATGGTTACAGATTAATAATAGGAATGAAAAGCACTTAATGTTCATAGAGTTTTTAAAAAGAAGTTCAAAACTCGTATGATGTTATTTCTGTGGAACACACACACAACATTTTTTGAAGAAATTCATATGTTTGATGTTATAAAGAGCAAAATAGAAGATTATCAGTGAATAATGGTGAATATGAAAAAAAAAAAAAAAACAGATTTGGAAAGACATGAGCGAGCAGATTTTTGGTTAACTACTTCCTTAACAACATAGAAAATGACAAGATAATTGATATTTTGATTCAGTAAAATATACATTAAACAACAAACAAAATCCCCCAGCTGAGAACATACTGCAAATGGAGGTTCTCTTGCGTGTGGTTTGCTCTTTCTTGGCAGTTTCAGGTTTCCACAGGTCATGAATTTGTTTTGAAAGAAGTTTCCTTTTGGGTCTGTGAGAGAGAGAGAGAATTATTTCATGATTTTATTTCATTTATCCGAGGAATTTGAATAAAGACAACTAAATCAAGTCATATGAGATAGATAATAAGGTTATGCATTTGAATTATGAATCACTGATGATTATTGTCAGGTGTTAGTTATTATGGTGACTGTTTATATTCATATAATGAAAGTGTTTGGCACGGTTTAAATCTTGCATGTTGAAATTACTTCCAAGGCTCTCACCTTATATTTAACACCAGTGGATCCACCTGCACCTCATTTCTGTGTGGAAACATCAACACCAAATAAGAATTTAATTTATATCCAAAATATTTTATTCAGCTAAAATGCATATTAAATAAAAAAAATCACAAAAAAAGTCTCTACAATTAAAAGAGTTTACTTAAGAAAAAGTGGTTTATTACATGTATGAATGACCAGAACCAAAACAAATAACATTTGAATTCATTTTAATAACAGACAACTGCAGTTTTAAATTTTTTTGAGAGAGATGGTTTTACTCTTCTGGTTTGTTTGACTCTGGGCTGGATGGAGTCCTTTCACTTCCATCCTGTTCAGATGAGGTTTTCTCTGACCTCTCATGACGGGCTTGAACCACTTTTAATGCTGCCTAAAAAAAAGAAAAAAAGAAAGTACTTCATAGCATTTCTGGTAATAAGCAGCAAAACACACAGTCTTTAATTCACAGTCAAAGTAAACAGTTAGTGGCAGGCAAATCCACTCTTAAGAGCCTTTATTAGGTGATTATTGAGTATTGAAGGTGAAGCTAATTACACCATTTCCACACCCTCGGGAAAACATCACAACTCTAAGAGATCATTAGGCAAATTCCCAGTATATACAGTATGCACATCGAAACCACAGTCAACGAAGCCCATTAGGACTTTCCCACAGGATGTAGCAAAAGAAATCAGAGTTAATCGTAAGGTGGATTAGCTTTTTGGTAAGCATAACAAAAAAGGCCCCATACTTCGAGTAAGAAAACAGAGGACCGTTCCTGGCTGAACGTGTTGAGGAATGTGTCGACGTTCTCCAACAGCTGGTTGAAAGTGAAGTTCATCAGGAGCTGATCGTATGCATCCTTCTTACTCACAATGGTGGTCAGCTTTCCTTGCAGCTTCTGTTAAGACAGACACAAAAATGATGTTGATTTGCCGCATTGCATGAAAAGGCATGTTAAACTGTAACAGGTTAATACACACCGCTGGTATCTCAGTCTCTTTTTCCAGCCACTGCAGGGTTTCCTTTGCCAACTGTGAATTTCCTTTCTTCACACACACAGCGACAGACTTGGACACGCAATGAAAACAGCATTTCCATGACTGAACTCCATTCAAACTCTACAACGTGAAACATCCATCACTTTCAATCATAAATACCTGAACAATCAGTAGCGTCTTGATCTTAGCATGCAAGTCTGAATCAGACACTTCTTTTAATGACTCCCAAATCGGCAGCGCTGACATCAAGGGAGTGATTCGAGCAACGTGATCATAACGGACGTCTGAAATCCACAACACAACACGAATGAGCTGATGGAACAGTCACTGAATCTTTCATTTAGATTTGTCTTTAAAAAAAATGTATTCGGTTTTCGTGATATACTGTACATTATTCTTGCAAAATCTCGTAATCTATCTAGATGAGGCTTCATCAAATTTCTAAAAGACTTTGATAGTCTAAGAATCCAACGTAAGAATGGGTTGAAAAATTAGAAAACAAATCAGAAAGGTTCTTCCAAAAATGCCATCACTTTACAGCAAAAGTGTGTTTATGAATTATAGCAGTCATCAGGGTTTCACTTTTTTTGTTATACTTATAAGTGAAAGTGACGTGTGGCCAAGTATAGAGTCTTGGAATTTGTGCTCTGCATTTAACCCATCCAAGTGCGCACACACACACACAGTGAACACACACCCGGAGCAGTGGGCAGCCATTTTTTGCTGCGGCACCCGGGGAGCAATTGGGGGTTTGGTGTCTTGCTCAAGGGTCTCACCTCAGTCGTGGTTTAGCCCTACCAGTACGGAGACTCGAACCCGCGACTAGGTTACAAGTCCGACTCTCTAACCATTAGGCACTACAGGCAAAAAAAATGTTTTCCCCCCTCAGGAGTCAAACATTTTCACTTCAGTAGCATTTCCAATTCCTCTCTATGTACTTAAGGTTTTTACAGAGGAGTTTGATCATATATCGCCTTGTTTGTATTAAAAAAAAATCTTAAAAACATGGCAAAACATTTTTTTTTCTCTGGCTGTTGACAGCATTTCCTGATTTATGGGCTGATAAAGAGAAAGAGACTCAAAATCAGTTCCAAAAAAACAACTCAAATTATATGTCAAAAAGAAACAAGCATTTTGAACCAATGTTCAGATTTCGGTTCTGGAAATTCATGCAAATGTGTGCATATTTCATTAGTTAAAGCTTATTTGCATAATTATACATAATTCTGAAAACTTGTAAAACAAAACCAGTGTCTGAATGGAATATGATGAACAAACCGGACGTATGGTGAGATCTAGCAGTTAGCATTTTTTCGAAAAAAAAAAAATCATTCAGATTTCCAGAATTTTTCATGACCGTGACAACACTGCGTCTTGGAGTTACACTGTAGATGTATGCCCAGCTATTATTGAAAATGACTGTAAAGCAAAGCAGGTTTCTTATAAAGACAACATAATATTATCTGGCACATATTGTTATATATGTTGACATAGGGCTGGACAATAATTCAATATCAATATGTATCGCGATATAATTTTTTTCAATAACGGTGATATTATTTTTAAACACATTTCCGATATACAAGGCTTTTTTAAATAGTGTTCATATCGATATCGGAATTATATCGTATCGACCGAAATTAAGAAATATATCGTGATATAAATTTTGGCCATATCGTCCAGCCCTATGTTGACATTACCCAGGTCTTCCCCGTCCATCGCTCTGGCAAGGAAGCAGCAGATCGTTCTCTGAGTGGGATGATCTGACCTGAGGCAACACGACTCAAGATCATCCACTATACCTGTGGAATAAACAATAAACAACATGTGAGAATACAGAACAAATGATATCATAATTACAAATAAATGAAAGCTAAATAAAAGCATCTAGCATTAATTATTATAATAAACAAATATTTACTAGACTCAAAACAAAACACATTACTTTCAAATAGTTTCAAAGTTTTACGAAACTCCAACGCAGATCTGTCTCTGAAGAGCCGACATAGTGACGCGAAGTAATAATCGATCACCCATGACTGGACAACACCCTCGACTTCAGTTAAATCGATTGTATCAGTCGTGCTGGATATTATCTCATTTGACGATCCCTCCATTTCCATGTTGATGTTGAAAACAAACGTTCCCGCCGGGCGCTGACTGTGTAGTGCGGGCGGAGTTTATGAGAAATTCTGGCCGCAGCGCCACCTGCCGGCGCGGAGGAAACAACAACAACACGAACGCCTTCTCAGTATCTTAAAGCTGCAGTCCATACATTTTTTGTTGGTTAAAAATGACCCGGAATCAACATTTGAGCAAGTACATAACCAACCAGTGTTCAAAATATCGCCTTACTTTAGCCCGATTCACAACGGTTAGCTTATAATAATGTTTTCTAATTTGAGTGGTACGGGTAGGTTTTCGCGGGAAATGCGATCATGCCGCTGCGTCATTACGTCACGTCTGTAAACATAAAGAAGTTGTCCCAGCTACTAGGCTATCACATGTGAGGATCCTGCAGGTGGCGGATCGTTTATAGCCTTTTCTCACTGCAGCTAGAATAATTCAATGTATCATTTTGATGGCGGATTGTAATCCAGAAAGGATTATGTGTTTATGAAACACATGTGAATGAAATTAAATTATATTCCAGTTTTAAATGTGCTTCTGATTACAGATAGCCTGGGATTACACACGATTTGTATTTTAAAGACAACCAGTTCGAAGGGAGCATAATTTGCTTTTTGGGTTAAAATGAATTTCTTAATATGAAATTCGAATGGTATGACAATTAGAGATTAGACTGTACAAAAATTGAAATCCACTCGCTAATACACACAATATTCACATAGTCATGTAATGCTGATGTTGTTAACATTAACAATTTGAAAATAAATTATAACAATAATAATAATTTGCACGGTTTGATCATGATATGAGCAAATTTATATTAAATCACCATTGTAGCGCAATTTATTGTAATGTTTTTTTCTTCAGTTGGTCAGAACAAACGTGGCAGACTTGTTACTT